GAATTGCAGAAAATATAACCAAAACATTGTTAAAAATCTCTCTGCCTGGGAGTCGAACCCAGCTTTCGCGCGGATCTATGCATGCATCCAGATGACAGGCGCGTGTACTAACCGATATACTAGCAAAGACTTATTGATCATACAATGTGACGTCCTTGGTGGTGGGGAAGTATCGTCATTGGAAGAAAAGGTGAAAACTCCGGAAGAGTTGAGATCAGACGTGGTGTGGGATTGAGATGAAAAAAGAAATCATATCAGGAAATGTAATTGAGTCGACCCAGGTTCGAACTGAGGACCTTCTGTGCGCCACAGCCGTGTGAGACAGATGCGATAACCAGCTACGCCATCGACCCATGACGCTGCCACTGGAGCGCCAAATCAGCGCGGCCTAGCTTTGATACATAAAATTGCCTGATCAAGTCTTCCTGCATTCTCTCCCCTTGTTCATTGACCCTTTGACTCACTGACCTTGTCAATTGGGCAATAAGTTTGACCCCATCAAATTGGTCAAGGTAACGCTGGATGGAGTTGCATGACTCTTTGTTGAATCTATAGACTATGAGCTCTAACCAACAATCTCATAACATAATTCCCGCCGTTGCCTTCACTCAGTTTGGGCCTGCAGGTGATCTCGAGTGTCTGGACTGCTGGACACAGGCGGGATAGAGCCTGTGCCGAGTTTTGGGCCACCTCCCCAACTCCTCGATGACCTCCCTCCAAATCGTGCTGGTGAGAGCACCGTCCCATGACAAACAAGTCTTGACGGGATCTGATCCTGCCTACGGACACCGCAGCCTCTCAACTTCCGTCAGCTCTGCCTCTTCCCGCCTCTCCGCCTTCTGTGCTGCCAATAAACCACAGTAGCATTGGTCATTCCCTCAGAATCCCTCTCACACTCCGGCAGTGTTTCCTCTAATGCTCAGGCCTGCGCTCCCATTCAAGTTCATTAATCTATGCACTGAAACAGATCTCTCTTGATGACTGACTCTGTTAACCTTTTTGGGTCTCCCAGATCTTATATCTACATTCTTGCTATATCTTTGCTTCACCTCT